ATCATACAGGACCACCAGTGGGACCCATGTGCCTAATGCTTGCTGCCAGTCACAGGCTCTCCGACATCACTGACAGATACCACAGTGGTGGGTCAAAGCCGATGCATGGAGCAAATCTACTGCCATGATTACCGTGGCATGAGCTGGCCCCAGATGTCAGGATATGAGAAGTTCACTCGTGTCACATAATGACAAAAACGGAGCAAGTGCCCCAGAACCGTGACAGACCATGGTGCTGCGGCTCCTCCTGCTCTCAAACACGCAGCCGCCTTCCATTCCCATGGCTGGTGCAGTCACGACCCGGACAGGACGAGAGCTGTTTTCCACGCCTGGAGTGGCTGTGGAACAGACAGCAGAGAGTGCATTTGGAGACTGAAAGGAAACCGAACAAGTCTCGGAACAAGGCTGCAGCAAAACACCATCATCTTATCGCTGCTCTCACGGGATATTACTCGTATGCCGCAGTAATAATGCTGATGGCTGGGAGACACGAGACACTCGCAGGGCCACATGAAAGCCAAAGAGGCTGGCTTGGCAAAGAGCTCGGGAACACGCCGGGCTCCAGCTTTCAGAGCAGTGCGCTGCGAAGGACAGCAAAGGTAACAGCCAGAATGGGGACAAGCTGGGCACGTGCTGTGGTTGGGGGAGGCAGGCGGCATCGGTGACATTGTCCAGAGTCAGAAATAAAACCCTTCCTGGGGCCCCCAGCCAAGTCACCCAGATGTGCCCAAGTGCAGGGTGCAAATGCCGAGGCCCCTGTGGTTGGGGCAGGGGAGGGGGCAGGCCGGGCAGCCGCTTGGGCCCGAAGGCCGTGGAATGGGGCAGGAGCTGCCCGGCAGAGGCTGCCCCTCTCCCCGCAGGGCAGGATGGGGCCCCGTGTGCAAGCCAAGCCCGGCGCACCCTGCTGCGACGTAGCGCGCAGCATCCTGCCCCAAACGCTCGCTTGCTGCCCCGACAGCTCGCTGTCCTCTCGATCTCGCTCTGAAGCATGAAAGCTTCGCTCTGCTCTTGTCCTCTGGTCCCTCGGCTGCAATCTCAGACTTGTCCTCTCCACTTCCAGAAGGCCTGCCAGGCCCTTGGGTGTTTCCAGGCCAGTTACTCCGGTCACCCTCCAGGTTTGCAACCCCGCCATCCGCGGACGCAGTGAAGGGCTACGTGGCTTCCCACCTTCTTTCCCCTTACACAGGAACCCAGCGGAAGTCATCACCTCCTTGGGACACCCCAGCCCGTGTCTGTCCATCCCGGCAGGCTGTCCTCCACGGGGGGCTCAATCCTGAGGTCTAACCCACAGGGGGAGGAAGAGGCGCCTACCCCAAGGCGCACGGGCACACCGGGAAGACACGCGACTGCTACGGAGCACCTAGCTGGGGCAGGGCTGGAAGAGACGCAAAGTGCCCCCAAAGGCCCCGCCGCCCCGCGCCTGCCGACAAGGCGCTGGTGGCCTTCGCTCCTCGGCTCTCCCAGCTGCGGCTCGGCGCCGGGCAGCTGCTGCGCGGTGCCCGCTGGCAGCTTCGGGGCCAAGCCTTTTTGGCTGGGCAGGGCTTAACACTGCAGCGCAAGGTGGCTAAAGGGGCTGCCGGAAAGCCACTGCACCTGACACAGCCACAAGTGCCACGCAGACGAGGGACGCTTAAGGCTCTTCCCCAGAAGGCCTCCTCCAGGATTAAGGGCACGGGCCAGCCCAGACGCCAGCCCTGGCCGGCAGCGGGCAGGACCCACGCGCGCTCGCAAGGGAATCTTTGGCAAAGCAGGGGCGTTGGCGCCGGGCCCGCGAGACCTTCCTGGCTGCGGGGATCGCACCTGCCCGACCAGCCACAGCGCTGGCGGCCTGCCCGGCG